TCAGGAATAGATCTAGGCAATAGCTCTTCTCTCCTGCAACCTTGATTAACCTTTCCATTCACAGTGAATCTTCCTCTTTGCCTATGAAGGGGAATTCATGGAGGTGACAGACTTATATCTTTTAAGCAGGAGCACTGCAGCTCAGTATGGACATGGAAAAAGGCATCTTCATTGATTTCCTAGGCGTTTAATCAGGCTCTACCTAGTGATGACTTCCTGAAAACATGTCTCACTCAAGCTCTCCCAGGAGTAGGAGTACATTGCTAAGCGCTGAATGGGAAAAGCCCCAAATCAGCAAATTCTCTCAATTTGACAACTCTGTTCTTTGGTGCTATGAGAGTGGTGGCCTGTGGGTGTGCATACCAGTAAAAAAGCATCCTGATGTGTGTGTATATAACTCAGTTTAGTAATCTCAGGAGTGGTGTGGGTGACTGTGTTCCAATGATTGGCCTGTTTCTAAGTACTGAGTCTGTTACTAAAATTTGTCACTGAAACATGGAAAGAGAACAGCCACATATTAGTCAGATCTACACACACTCCCCCTTCTGTCTGTAATCTGTTACATGAGGGGAGGGGGGTAGATCCCCAAATGGGGTAAATTGGCATAGGCCCTTTGACTTCAGTAGCTTGACATCACTGAACATCTGTGGAGAATCTTGCCTATCATTCCCACTGCTGACACACCTATGCACAACAAAGATGGGAAACAAAACAGAGGGCCTGATTCACCATTGACCCACGTGTTGTATAGTTATCTATCCTCAGGGGCACGGACAGCATCCACAAGTCCCTGGGCAACGGGTGTGTGTGTGGGGGGGAGGGGGTCTGATTCATGCTCCTGGAAGGAGTGGGGTAGAAGGGGCGGGACCGGTAACAGCTGGCCCTGAGCTCTGCCCAGAGCACATGCCCAGAGCCCTGCCTCCGCCTTCATAGCTACTCCAGTGGTGAATTAAAGGGGGTGGGGGGGTCTGGCCACTGCCACAGTAGCAACAGCGGAGTCCCAGGCCCCCTTTGAATTGCTGGGCCCCAGAGCAATTGCCCCCTTTGCTCCCCCCCCCTCCGCTCCATCAGCCATTCTGTCTACCCTGGTGCAAAGCCAGTGGAAACCACTGGTGTTCCGACTAGGTTGCATTTTATATCCTCCATGCTCACCGTGTGCTGGTGTAAATCTCTGCACAAGAGGTAAGTCAATAGAGAGAAAGGACTCTGAACGGGGGCTTAAAAGACAGCACTAGTGGTGGCCAAATGGAAGAGAATTTCTAAGAATATCAGAACTCTGGGAGGACTTACAATAGTATTGGGAAGTAAAAAATGTATTCTCTTAGGAAATTCCACCAAGACGCTAGCACCATCTACTGGTAAAAGCCCATATATATGAAAGGATAAAGAGGCCTGGATCTTCTTTATGCTGACATGCAAATTGCCCTTAAAATGGGTATAAATATAATTGTTGTCCACTTTAAAGTCCTTTCGCACTGCCAGAGGGGTATAAAGTGTCCTTACTGTAAATGAGAATCAGGCCCAGAAATGTTTTAATGCAGAGATAGATAGATACACATGTGGGGCAATGTTTTCTATCTAACAGCAAGATTTACCCTTCAATTTAAAATGTGATATCCATCACAGGCAGGAAATGCATGTCAGTTTTCCACAACAGCCATACATCTGACCCAACAGCAAAAGCCTGCTCTCCTTTGGTCCCTAATCCTATTGGGATTCCTTGATAAGGGGGCACGGCCGCTTTAGGGAAAACTGGGGTTTAACAAGCCACTTCCTAAGCCACCGGAGGAATTAACCGACAGGAGCAGGGAACCGTGGAGTTTTGTGAGGCATATGAGCCAGACACACCTAACAAACATATTCAAAACTTTGGCCATTACACCCCCTCTCCACACACACACTCCCAATTGTTTTAAAAAAAAAAAAGGCAGGTAGAAATCTGGGAGCTCTCCAGTGTATTGCAAGGAATGCAGCATGCCTGATAGCCTGCCCTGTGAGCAGGTGGCATATGGATGCATTTGGTGTGAGCAACTCATGGCCCTCAGAGACGGAGCACTGGGTCCTGAGGTCAGAATGCATGAACTGGAGGAGCTAAGGGAGACAGACAGCTACAGAGGTGAGACTTTCAGGGGCACAGTGGAGTGACCTCACCCCCAGTCTGACAAACTTTTTGCTGTTGAGGAGGATGAAAGTCTCTTCCCCCAAACCTCTCCTCTGAGCAATGCAGCCTGGGGGACTAGAAGGGATCAGGCCCCCTGCACTCAGTGGCAGCAGTGGGGGGAAGCTGACTGTGGACTAGGCACAGTCCCCCAGCTGTGAGCATCAGTCCCTGTCCCAAAGAGGGCAGAATCTAAATAGACAAGACGGAGTGAAGGGATTTGCTAAAGGCTG